TACTATATATATATATATATATATATATATATATATATATAGGCTGGCGGGCTTGAATCCTATTTCATTATGCATTACAACACATTATCCCTAAAATGCTAGGGCAGTCGCCTGCAGATGATTTGGCTATAACTTTTGGAGTAGAGTAAACATTCACGATGCTGCTGATAAGCCCCTTTTTGCAAGTGGATTCAAAAAGAAACCCCAAACTCATTTTTTCCGTTATTATATGGCTTGAAATTGGGCGCCACGCTCATCCAATTAGAGATTTAATGTGTGGCACTCCCATGCAAAGCCTTAATGATGCTGGCAAAAAACACAAAATATTTTTTTAGTATGCTAAAAGAAATTAAAATACAACAGTATTATGACAAAAAAAAATTTAGTATGCTAAAAGAAATTAAAATACTACAGTATTATGACAATGTGAAACCCCAGAAGTTACATAGATCTCAAAATGGCACAAATAAAGAATTCAATTGCAAACAAAAAATTTTAGTAGGACCTCATGCCTAATAGAAATTCAAACATATAGTTTACATACCTCCTCCACAAGTTCAATGAGTGAAATATCTGACTTCTCACATTTGCTCTTAAGAAAAGTATTTTCCTTCTTAAGCTGCTTAATTGACTTTGCCATCTTGATGCCATGTGAAACAAAAGGTCAACTTGTTCAATATACATTCTAGAAAATGCAAAAAGAAACAAAATGGAGAATATTGCTTCAAAAGAAGGCATAGTCATACATGAAAACCATTGGCAAAGAAAGCTTTACTGATTACCTTCTCCATTTCCCTCTTAAATGATTCAAACACATCATTGCTTTTCACTAGTGCCTCCTGCACAAAGAAGAAGAATAAGACTCAAGTGTAAGAACTGGAAAACTGGATATTGGCTGTAATAATTTGTAGATACAAATGTACGTAAATACAATATTTCTCCTTTAAAGTATTACAGTGCTAATGACAAGAATATGGCTTTAAATTAATAATTATTCACTTGAACGTGTTGACTTTGGCATTATCAGACCTTGATGGTAGGGACGTGTATTCTTCTATACCTTGTGGATGATATAGTTTTATAAATTTCATGGTGATCAACACTGAAAACCTTAACATAGTACACAGTAACAGACACATCTAATGTTCCATTGCCAGCTATAATTAAGATTAATATCTACACTTGGTACAAGAGCAATGGATACGACTTAAGTTCATGTTTAACTACATACATGCGGCCAATATCATCATTTTCAAGAGTCCAAAGCCAGGTTGCCAGCCAGAAACCTTGTTTTCATGCGAACATAAAATATTGATGGCCTCCACCACTTCATTTTCTCCTCTACTGTCTTCTTGCCAGGAAAAAAATTTGCAGATGAAAATAGTGCTCTGTATGTGGGGCACTTCCAAAGAATATATCTAGGAGTTATTGAACAAATATGGCATGACGACATCCATATTCAAGCATGAGGAGTGTTGGAGTGTTTTGAAATGTAAGGGGATGCTTTGGCCATTCTGTATTCATCTGTACCACTCAAACACATACCGGTGCCCTACTGCTTTTAGCATTGAAGCTCTCCCGCCCCTTTCACAATGATCTCAAGGTTTGCTTTGATACCATAATGGATATCCAATTTATATGGTATTTATGGTCCTTCTCTTCCAATTAAACATATCATACAAAATATCATGGATGCACAACTATTTCAGTGACCGTTGTACACATTCAGCTCAAAGAGAAAATAGATAATTTCCTATCAGAAAGCCCTAATAAGTATACAAGTACTCAAATATGAATAAAAGCTTTGAAGAATTAAGGGAGGATATGTAAGGATTTGTATATGAGAGGAGTGACCTGGAATTGCTGAAATTTTTCTCCATCGGTAGTCAACTGCAAACGCAAATTCTTCTCAGTTAACAATAGCTGTGAAACCTGATCTGCGTATATCTGCATTTGGGATTGTTCATGAGAGGACTTATCTAAATGTTGTTGAAGTTTTAGTTCCGCAAGTTGTACTTCAAGTGATTTCTTCTTCAACTGCATTATAGCCATCAAGGCAAGATTACCTTTAAATAAACAGTCTTGGGTATGCATTCAATATATTGAATCACACAAGATTATAATTGCAATCAGTGGTTTTAAACATGGACACAGGCCAGGAACCAGGCAGGGCCCAAATCCGAGTCGACATGTCAAACTCAGCCAAGTCTGAGTCAGAAACAGCTGATCTCCAGAAAAATAACAAAGAAATCTTGGGAACTGATGATACTCGGCTAGTTCCAAAGGTTTCTCAGTAACAGCAGAGTGCCGGGTATGACTACCTTGACTGACCCCAAGCCAGATGGCTAGTCCTTAAAGCACTGATTTCAATGCATGTTTACATGAAACTTTTCATTAACACATGATGCACTTTACCTGTTGTACAAATTGCTGTTCAGCAATAGCATACTGTTCAGAGAGATGCTTCAATCTATTTCTCAACCTGGAAGAAATTTTAGATGCATATTTTCAGACTCATATTTGGCAATTAATCCGATGATCAAGTAACTATTGATGAGTATTCTAGTGCTTCAAATTTTAGCAACTATACAATAACAAGACATGATGCAGAGTTCTAGATATGGATAAACAAACACTGAAAATGGTCAATCGCATGAATTAAACAAATCAAGAAGCAAAGCCAACATGATTTTGTGTAAAATTATTTCTAGCAGCCATAAAAGCTAAAAACTAATCCAACACATTGCCATGTCATAACCTGAATTCACTAGGACTATATGGCAAAGAAGGTTTCTAAAGCTTTACATATTCCTGCTTTTAAATTTTATTTATTTATTTGTTTAGCTAACTAAAAAGAGAACCCACTACACAACAATTTGTGCCATTGGAGCAAACAAAGAGCGATGTGCCTAGTCAGGTGGGAGACAGAAAAATAGGGGAGGAGTAAAGTAAGAAAGTCTTAAAGTGTAAAACCAAGCAAGGAGCCCTCTCTGCCATTTCCATCTCGGGCTAAAGATTGCTCTAGGTCATTTGCCCCCCTAGAGACAATGAAATGTCGCTGCTTTCCCAGGGAAGGACTTTTATCGCTTGCAACTCACCTACAAGACTTCTTAACCTAGGACGCTCTTCCCTTGTCCACCATATAACATTTATAGGATTCTTTCTAAAATCAGTGGGTACAAGAAGGATTTGTTGGGGTTTTTGGCCTTTAAAGCCTGCAAGATCATGTAATTTGCCTTAGTTAACTGATCAAGGGTTAGGAGATCTATGGTCCTAGTCATATTCAAAACCTTCACCCCTAGGCATATGGCACTACCATAAGGGATTTCAAAGGGTCACCGCTTGTTGAGGTCGAAGAGATGCCCAGGGATGGTTTGTAGGCTAGGAGAGCTTCGTGGTTTCCTGTATAACTATGAAAGCAAGAGCTAAATCCTCAACAAACATCCATATAGCATGCACACATGACAGCCGCCTACCAGGAAGCAACCCAACAAAAGGACATATGTACATGTACATAAAGAACGTACCCCTTACACTATAGTGATATGTGCGTGTGACTTGCTTGCTCTAAAGGGGAGGGACCTATAATCCACGTTCCAAGACTATGGTTTTACTATTTATTGGCCAACTTTGACGAGACAATCATGAGACCCTTCATGAGACTGTGGGTCATGTGTCTCATTAGGTTGATTTAAGAAGAGAATCGAGGACCACAGTTACTAGGTGGGTAGAGTGCCCTGACTTCCTGACCCATTGGTATCACTCCACTTGTAGAGAATATTTTTTGTTTTGAAAATATTCTGTCAATCTTTGATTTAGATCAAATCTTTTTTACTTTAAATTCCTACAATATTTTATGACTTCTAATCAAGATAAGAGATGATTTTTATTGATCTTATCCTAGGTTGACCAGAAGTGGATATGGGCCAAAGAATCAGAGACCAAGGTTCCTACATTCCTCCGTAAATCATGATGGCTGATTCATGGGAAGGAAAGCTCAGATTTGTTTCTCTCTCACCTCACAGATTATTTAAGGTCCTATTGCCAAGATGAATTCTAAATCAAATAGGCATACCTAGACCCTCTTGGAGACTATATAAGGAAGGGACACCCACCCCCTCCCCCTCCCCCTCTCACTCGCACTCTCTACACCTCATTCTAATCTCTCTCTTCCTTGTCTCTCCATCTCTCTCTCTCTCTTCCTTGTCTCTCCATCTCTCTCTCTCTCTCTCTCTCACATCACCAAATGGCATCACACACCACCCTAGGCTACAATGGGTGATACGCAACCCAAAGATAACAGAGAGGAGCATGCCCAGCCCAAGACCAAGGGAGGTGCCTTCAAAGCATGCCCTAGAGAGGTCTAAAACGGGATCTAGAAACCCTAATCTTGTTTATGCTCTCAAAACCCTAGATTTGAAAGGTATTGCATAAGGAAGCTTCCGGACCCTTTAAATTCAGCACAGCCAATAGGATGAGATTGTGCCAACGGTGAGATAATCAAGTGTGAGGTGGACCAAGTCCTAAGGGTTGACCCTAAGCATATTCAAGTAAGTCTTCCGAGCTGTATGGTTTTATTTTTTAGTCATTCTTTGCTTATTTATTTGAATTTTCAAGAACATTATTTTTACTAAAATTTATAGCCAAAGCTTGTTTTTTAATCCTGGATTGTATCTAATCTATTTGGCAGTAAACGGAAAGATCATAAGTTGTGTTTGGGGATTTAATTCATGTTTATTGCAGTATTTTGTAGCACTTGTATGTGGAATTTGTTTTTTTTTTAACCTGTTGTAAGTGGATTCAAATTCACTAATAAAGAAAAGAGAAAAACTTTTACTGTATTCTTTGGAATTCCACATTGCCACTTCTTTCATTGGTATAAGAGCAGTCATATTTTACTACCATAGTCTAAGGATTTTCTTTTATTCTTGAGTCAAAAAAGAAGGCAGCAAAAAGCCTTTAAGGCTAAACTTATTAAATCTGAAAATTTCAATGGGGAGAATTATGAAATCTGGAAGGAGAAAATTGACTGCATCGTCTTCAAAGGACAAGGCTAGATGTTTACAGAAAACCCCCCACCAGGGCTAAGAGGGAGTGTTTATGGAAGGCCATCTATGTGGGATGCTTATACTCAGTGGGAGCATGAAAATATCCTGGCTAAGCATCACCTCCTCATGGCAATGGATACACAAGCCCTCATGTACGAGCCCCTGAAGACTACAAAAATCCATTAGAAGCGCGAAGTTGATTATGCTACTCCTCCCCTCACTAGAAGAACCATGGCAATGAAGCAGTACTTAGATCTAAAGATGAAAGAAGGGAAGTTGACTGAGCACATTCAAATTGTCAGAGCACTCATCTAAGAGCTTGAGGCTGCCAACATAAAACCAGATGAGAAGATGCAAGTATGCAAGTATGCTAACTACTGAACACTATGCCAAGCTCATGGGAAGACTTCACCGTAGCCCTCACAGCACAAGAGAGCAGGCCATAGTTGGACAAGGTCATCGCCAAGCATATAGCAGAGGAAGAAAGAAGGATGACTTGTGATACACCAGCTACAAATGAATCTGTAAACCTCATAAACCTCAAACCCAACCCACAACCATTTAAGAAAAATAAAAGCTAGGGCAAAAATAAGAATAAGAATAATGAGAATCAAAAAGGGGAACAATGGGCCTAAGAAAAAGAGGGAATTGAAGAATACCCATGGCAATGCAGCAGTACTTAGATCTAAAGATTAAAGCAGGGAAGCTGACTGAGCAAATTCAAATTGTCAGAGCACTCATCTAAGAGCTTAAGGCTGCCAACATAAAACCAAATGAGAAGATGCAAGTATGCTAACTACTGAACACTATGCCAAGCTCATGGGAAGACTTCATCGTAGCCCTCACAGCCAAGCGAGCAGGCCAAAGTTGGACAAGGTCATCGCCAAGCATATGGCAGAAGAAGAAAGAAGGATGACTTGTCATACACCAGCTACAAATGAATCTGTGAACCTCATAAACCTCAAACCCAACCCAGGACCATTTAAGAAAACTAAGAGCTAGGGCAAGAATAAGAATAAGAATAATGAGAATCAAGAAGGGGAATAATGGGCCTAAGAAAAAGAGGGAATTGAAGAATACCCAGTGTCATAACAGCAAGAGGTTTGGGCATATAGTCAGGTACTATAGAGCACCTAAGAATGTGAACCCCAAAGGCGATAAGGAGCATGCTTGTGTGTGTTGTGGTTCATATCTTTTAAAGGCTATGAGAGCATGTAAAAAGACATTTATAGTGGATTATACACTTTTGTGAGAGTGTATATTATTTGATTGACCAAGGGTTAAACGGGCTATACCCCTAGCAATGTCTAAACCCCTTACCTCTAGGTGTGAGGCACTACCGAAAAGGGTTTACAGAGGGTCATCCCCGGTTGAGGTCAAAGAGATGCACAAGGATGGCTTTTTCGGATGTGTTTTTCAGTTGACAAACCTAGGGTTAGGTGGTCTACAACTCTAGTCATGTATAAAACCCAAACTTGTGGGCATATGGGACTACCATAGTTTTAGAGTGTCATCCCTTGCAGAGGTCTGAGCGATGCCCATGGATGGTTTGTAAGCCAAGAGAGCTTCATGATCTCTTGTGTCCGGATGTAGGGCTGTGATAGCGAGGGTCAAAATCCCCAACAAATTTTCATACGGCATGTACACATGACAATCGCATTACCAGGAAGCAACCCTACAAAGGATACATACACGTGTGCATAGAAAGAGTTCCCCTTGCGCTATAGTCATATGTGTGTGTGACTTGCTCTTACGGGTGGGAACCTATCATCCACATTCTATGTGGGGCCCATAGGGCCCACACCTTTCACCTTGGTGGTGGAACGCCCGCTTCCTCTCTTCTTGATTTTCTTTTTCAATATAAGAAGTTCCATTAAAGAAGGATAACTTGTGTAATATTTGAAAAGACTATGTGACCTTATTTTGTAGGGAGTAGAGAATATTTTATATTTTGATAATGTTCTTTTAATCTTTGATTTTGACTATGACTTTGAATTCCTACAATCTTTTATGAATTCTAGTCAAGATTGGAGGTGTTGGTCATTTGGTATTATCGTAGGTTGACTTGAAGCGGATGTGGGTCAAAGAATCAAGAGATAAGGTTCCTAGATTCAAACTAAATCATAACGGATGATTCATAGGATGGATGGCTCTCTCACCTCACAGATTATATAGGAGTCCTATTGTCAAGATGAATCTACATCAAATAATCTACATCAAATAGGAATATTAGACCCTCATGGAGGCTATATAAGGTGGGGACCCCGTCATTCTCTACATCTCATTCTAGTCTCTTTCTCTCTCTTCTCTCTCCTCCATGCCCCACTCTATATCTCTATCTCTCCTCTTTAGCCACAAAGGGTGGCACGCACCACCCTAGGCTACTGGGAGTGGTACGTCAGGCAAAGATAACAGAGAGGGGTATGCCTAGCCCAAAGTAAGACCAAGGAAGGCGCCTTATAAAGGATCTAGAAACCCTAATCTTGTTTATGCTCTTAAAACCCAAAATCTGAAAAGGTATTGCCTAAGAAAGCTTCCCCACTCGGAAAATTCAGCAGAGGGCCACTAGGATCAGAATATGCCATCAGTTAAGTAATTAGATGTGTGGGTTGTCCTAAGTCCTAATGGGATGACCCTAGGAAAATTCAAGTAAGCCTTCCCGGCTGTTTAGTTTTGTTTTGCAGTCGTTCTTTGCTTTCTTATTTAAATTTCCAGGAATATTATTGGTACTAATTTATAGTCAAAGCTAGTCAATGAATCCTGGATTGTGTCTATTCTATTTGGCAATAAAAGGAAAGATCCTAGGTTGTATTTAAGATTTTATTTCTTGTTTACCGTAGTTCTTGTGGCACTTGTACGTGGAATTCAGATGCATTAATAAAAGAAAAGAGAAATATTTTTTATTTTATTCTGTGGAATTCCATATTGCCACTTCTTTTAGGATTGGGAATACATTCTCAGCCAGTAAGAAGTTCTTTTGTCACAGTCATATTTGCATAACCAGAGCCCTTCAGACCAGTAAAATCATTCCAATGGATCCTTGATGATCTCTCACGGCCCCACTTACCCTGGAAGGGCCAGGGTTACCATAGGAGCAGCCATCAAAGTCCAGCTTCAGCATGCCCATGGAAGAAGTGGTCCAAGTCACATGTATAATATTTCTGACACGCAACTAGTTGCCAGCACTTCCTATTCAGCGATCAAGTCTAGGCTCAATACTCAATGAATCCATCCCTACACCCATAAGATGATGAGATTCTCTAATCCCCTTAGAACGTACTCTCACCCTAAAACATTTGTCGTCAAATACATGTTTAATTCACTCCATTCATGTGCCCAAGAATGTGATGATAGACCTAAGTGACCAAAGAGTTTTATTCTTCAGACATAAATTACGATGCAAGTGGACATATGATGCTAATGGGCATTAAAGTATTGACATATTCATCAAGAATATTCTTGTATGTGTCCCTTTAGTGCTTTTAGATTCATAGTCACAGATAACAAGCAGAAATATTCTCATTTACAAGTTCTAACATGATCCTCCAAACATGGTATATGAATTGTCTTAAACAAAAGAAATGCAAGATCAGTTCCTTATAAAACCGAATCATGAGGATTTCATCTTGAAACTACAGAACTTAGGCTTTCATTGGAATTGAAGACTAATTATCTTAATACTCTAGGCTTTTTCATGTTTCTATGTCTCCATAGAATATAAACTTTGCGTTTATTCAGGCATCATAAGTTGTTTGTGTAATAAAGTCAAGAATAGTCAAACGACAGCTAATATGGCCAAAGGAGTGTAGATTTTGCAATGGGATTATGGAGCCACATTACATGCAGTACACAGAGTATACATGTGCATGAAGCCATACTGCATGCAACATACAAACCATACACATGACTCAATCAGCCATTCTCTACAACGAACTGTGGAGATGAACCACTCCTCCCCTTACTAGAATATGAGCATACTTAAGCAGCGGATTGGTTCATCTCAACAGATAATTGCCGCGAAAACACAGCCGAAAGTACAATGCAGTTTCTATATCATATGTAGTATGTTGTACCTTAGCAATTGAGATCTCCCAAACTGGTGGTGATCCCAGCAATTCCACATTCCCAGAGCAGGACCTTAGGTAGATCCCGCTCCCATATTCAAGGAAAGCCTCAGGGATTGGTCAATATATTTGACACCCATGTTAGATATATCTTTTAGAAGAACAAGTTTTAAATGCATATCAGTAAAAAAAAGAAAGTAATTATATTGCAAAATCGTGTCATGCATATCCCTAAGAGAAAGTGATGCTTTAATCCATATCTATCAAAAAAGAGTCTTAAATGTATTACAATAAAAAAAGAGAGAAATATAAATGGAAATCCTTGGATGGTATATATTCTTTTTTCAGAAGAAAAGATGCCTAAATCCACATCAATAAAGAAAAAGAAAGCCCTAAGTGCAAAGGTTTATAATCACATTATAGAAGGAATGATGGGTCCAAATGAGCAACTCCAGATGAAAAATCATGTCTTATCTGTCTATAATTATTCTCTTTCTAGCTATTCTGCAGTTTCTTTTAGGTTTATAATGAAGGAGTGCAAAAGAAAAGCGACATATTTTGATTGAAATTTACTTATATCTTTAATT